TTTAAATTGAACCTTAATCCATTCTTCATACTACATACAAAAACATTAACTCAAAATGGCTCATAGCCCTAAATATAAAGTCTAAAACTCCTAGAATAAAATGTAGGAGAAATCCTTTGTGACCTAGGATGAGGCAAAGATTTCTTAGTTGACACCAAAAGCATGAATCATAAAATAATAAATGATAAATTGGACCTCTGGTATTCAAAAGACACAATTTAAGAGAATAAAAAGAGAAGCCACAGACTAGGAGAAATTGTTTCCAAGTCATATATCTAATAAAGAACCATCAGCCAGAATATATGAAGACCTCTAACAATGAAATTATTTAAAACTGACCAAAAGATTTAAACAGACACTTCACTAAAGATATACTGATGGCAAATAAGAACAGGAAAAGATGCCCAACATCATTAGTCATCAGGGAAATGCTATGGTATCATAATGAGATACCATTAATCACTTACTAAAATGACTATAATTTTAAAAACTAATATTACTAAATACTGGCAAGGATGTAGAGAAATGAACTTTTACACACAGCTAGTGGGAATGTAAAATGGTGCAATCCCTTTGGAAAACAGGCAATTCCTCAGGTTAAGTATTCATTCACTATATGATCCAGCCATTCCATTCCTAATGTTTATCCAAAAGAATTAAGTATTAGGCATGTGCACAATACAAAATACAATATCCAATACATGTGCATGCAAACATTTGTACAGGAATGCTCATAGCAGCTTTATTTGTAAAAGCCAAAAACTAAAATTAACTCAAATGTCCATCATAGGTGTCCATACGATAGAATACTAATCAGCAACAGAAAGGAATGAACTCTTGGTACACATAGAAAATCGGATTAAATTCAAAATAAGTATGCTGAGTGAAAGAAATCAGTAAAAACAAGGGTGCATACGTTATGATTCTACTTATATCAAATTCTAGAAAATGCAAATGAATATATAGTGGCAGAAAACAGGTCAGTCGTTGCCTGGGGATGAGGCAGAGAGCCAGTTGGGGAAGAGGAATTAATTTCCAAGTGATAAGAAGAAACTTTGGGGGATGACGGACATTTTCATTCTCTTGACTGTGGTGACAGTTTCACTGGTGTATACATAAGCCAATGTTATCAAATATGTGCGATTCTTTGTTTGTCTATTAAACCTCAATAAACCTGCTTTTAGAAAACCCTACAGCATGCCTTAAAATGCCCTACATTATCTTCCTCAATTTTTTTGACATCATTATAAACCACCTCCCCTCATTCATTCCACTTCAAACATTCTTGTTCTTCTTCAACTCACTTTCACTTTAGGGCTTTTGAGAATGCTCCTCTTACTAGTATACAGATTTATCACTACTCTCACCAATTACCATAGCAAATAAGAAATATTTAGATTATCTCCCCAAAATGAAAATACCTTTTTCTTCTGGTCTTCCCTTCTCTTCTCATCTTTCTTACTCCCAACTTACCCACATCTTAAAAGCTTTCTGATGTATAAAATTTGGGGCAGGGCTTCCCGGGTGGCACAGTGGTTGAGAGTCCGCCTGCAGATGCAGGGGACATGGGTTCGTGCCCCGGTCCGAAGATTCCACATGCCGCGGAGCGGCTGGGCCCGTGAGCCATGGCCGCTGAGCCTGCGCGTCCGGAGCCTGTGCTCCGCAGCAGTGAGAGGCCCGTGTATACCCGAAAAAAAAAAAAAAAAAAAAAAAATTTGGGTAATTCCACTCAGGTTATTAAATGAGTAAAACTGTTCATTCACTCTATCATTTAGTTGTTCACTCTATCATTTAGTTGTTCACTCTATGATTTAGTTGTTCAGTGAACATCTACTCTGTGTCATGCACTCTTATAGCTTCAGCTATATCATTTTAATATAGCCAAATATTCCTGTTCCATTCATACTTAAATGCTACCAAAATGGATAGACAATAAACAATAAACAAGATAAATTACAATATGACAAAAGTACCATTTAAAAAGTGAAATAAAACAAGGAAAATTAGGAATGCTTAGGGGAGTGTTGTTGTGTCGCACATGGAGGTCTGCTAGTCTTAGAGAATTCTGATCTAACCACTCATCTAAGAACTCAGACACATAATACAGTGTAATTTTACAGTGATAGAACACTGTATAATGATAATTAAGAGTGTATGCTCCCTAGGTCTACCAAAAGAAAGAGAATAATAAAGATTAGAGCAGAGATAAACAAAATAGACAATAAAAACCAACAGAAAAAATTAATGAAACCAAGAGTAGGTTCTTCAAAAAGATCAACAAAATTGGTAAACCTTTAACTAGACTGACTAAGAAAAAAGAGAAGAGATTCAAATAACTAAAATCAGAAATGAAAGACGGGACATTACAACTGATTTTACAGAGCTAAAAAAATTGTAAGAGAGTACTATGAACAACTGTACACCAACAAATTGAATAATCTAGATGAAACAAATTCCTAGAAACTCAAAACTTACCAGTACTAAATCATGAAGAAACAGAAAATCAATAGATTTAAAACCAGTAAGGAGATTGAATAAGTAATCAAAAACCTCGCAATAAATAACCCTGACTACAACTGTTGGGGGCACTTTCTTCCACAGTAGAGGTCAAGGAGACATGAAGGTCATATTTCACCCCATTAGAGATGAAGAGTCTGAAACGCAAAGAAAAGCAAGATCTAGAAAAGCAAGGCAGTCTAGAAGATCAACACAGCATAGACTGATCTTTAGGAAGCTGAAAATACAATATGAAGAAGTCATTGTACCCAAATCAGAGAACAAGAGAAAGAAAAAGGGGGAAAAGGAAAGCAGGATAAAGAGAAGGAAGAAGAAAAGCAGAAACATCTAGAGAAGATAAATACGAACAAAAGTACTTCAGAACATATGATAAGATTAATCAGCCTTGTCTCCCAAGGCAATACAAATAAAAGAATAAACAAATGTGACCTAATCAAACTTATAAGCTTTTGCACAGCAAAGGAAACCATAAACAAAATGGAAAGAGACAACCTACAGATGGGGAGAAAATACTTGCAAATGATGTGACTGACAAGGACTTAATTCCAAAATATATAAACAGCTCATACAACTCAATAACAAAAAAACAACCCAGTCAAAAAATGGGCAGAAGAGCTAAATAGACATTTCTCCAAAGAAGACATACAGACGGCCAACAGACACATGAAAAGATGCTCAACATTTTAATTATTAGAGAAATGCAAATCAAAATTACAATGAGGGGCTTCCCTGGTGGCGCAGTGGTTGGGAGTCCGCCTGCCGGCGCAGGGAGCAC